GCCAAATTGAAAGATATATAGGAACTTTGGTACACCATTTACTTTAAATCGGACGAAAATATATATGGGAGCTATATCTAAATGGGACCGATTTTCGGGAAACTTAACACACATCATTCTAGACCTAATTCAGTACGCTATGCCAAATTTCGTGCAAATCTAAAGATATATAGGGAATTTACATTAAATCGGACGAAAATATATATGGGAGCTATATCTAAATCTGGACCGATTTTCGGGAAACTTAACACACATCATTCTAAAACAAAATCATTAGCCTGTGCAAAATTTCGGGCAAATCGAAAGATATATAGTGACTTTGTTATACCATTTACCTTAAATCGGACGATAATATATAAGGGACCTACATCTAAATCTGAAACGATTTTCGGGAAACTTAGCACATATCATTCTAGACCTAAATCATTAGGCTGTGCAAAATTTCGCGCATATCGAAGAATATATAGAGACTTTGGTGCAACATTTACATTAAATCGGACGAAAATGTATATGGAAGCTATATCTAAATCTGAACCAATTTTTTCCAATTTCCGTCAAATGCCTTTTTTAGGCGATAGAAGCCTTTAAAGGCCTTAAAATGCCTTTTTTAGAAGATAGACAATTAAAATGCCTTTTTTAGGCAATAGAAGCCTTTAAAGCAGGGTGCGCAAAAATTCGCTCGCGAATGATAAAAAAATACGATTTTTATTCGTGCTCATTCTGCGAATGAATTTATCACGATAAATTCTTTGCCCAACGAGCATTCGTTTTTTGATTGCACATACATATGTTGAAGAACTCTTCCAAACATAAACGTTCATTTATTATTTTGCTTTGTGTGTTTACAAATTTGTTATGACCCTTTTGTTTACTGCTGCGCTCGCGAACATTCGCGATTGATTCTTTTTTGAGATTTTCAAATAAACACCCTTCAGCAAAGAATGCTCGCGATTAAATGAATCGACGACGCTTGCAGCGACGTTATATCGTTTGTGAATTTTAGTGCAATGCGAACATTCGCGAGAGATTGCATATGTTTGTTCATTCATTGTAACTTTATCATTCGCGATAAATTGAAAAACATTCGAATTCTCGCAGTGAGCATTCGTGAGAAAGAGTGTATTGTAATCATTCATCATTCATAATCATTCTCCGCTGCATTTTAATTGTCTCCTTTTTGTGAGCCGTCCGAAGACGAACTGTTGTATTTAATTTAAATTGCTAACATTTTAGAGTCTAAACGCAACCATAGAGTCAGCAGTCAGCGGCATACTTTTTCGCCGGCGTGAAAACCAAACAAAGCGTTAGCGGCACAATATGTTAATTATTTGTTTTCATTTTTCGACAGAAAATTTTACGTTGTGCAACCAAATTCAATTTATTATTTAATAAACAATAATGTCAATGAACTTTTGGGAAATCAAATTTTTCCATTTTATTTTTAAATTTTTCTTCCATTTTATTATTAATTCGTTAAAAAACGTCCACATTTTTGAAAATATTTGTATTTTTAACAGCACTGCAATATGATTTGATATAAATTTCCACTGAAATGTTGGTAGCACTGCTGATTTTTTCCTAAATTATGGCAACTCAATTGAGAGCAAGAGAGAAAATTTGAATATGACGCTGAGCAAAAATGAATGAAATCTATTCTAGAGTCAAGCCCCTAGACGCGAACGTCAACCGTCCCGATTTTCCGTGGCCAATAAGAAATACACGGTAAACGACCGTCGCTGACTCTAGACGATCTGGTTGCGTTTAGACTCATACTAGTCAATGGTGCTTCTTCTTCTTCTTTGACGTAGCATTCATGGCATGTGTATGCAACCAGTGTTGTAAAGCGACAGTTTATGACTACTTAAGTGTTTGTGACCTCTTTGCCGTAAATGCACTGACTGAACATACCCAACTTAGTTTATTCATTTGAATGAATTAAGGATATTAACAATATGGGAAATTTTTAATAAAAGCTGAACCAAATGATATAAATCAGTACATCGCTAAAATTTTAATTTATAATTTATTAATTTTACCATGAATCAGCAGCAAATGTTTATTTTGTTTAATCAATTATCTTTCTCTTATAGAAGCCCTATTAAAGGTATTGTATCTATACTTATATAACTTCTTATTGTTATATGGTTCAATATTGATATACTTTCCGTCATCATTCGTTGTCTTTTCCCGTACCACTTGAATCTATCACTTGGTCTAATCCCGTCCTACAATAACCTACTAATTTTTACTATTTTCTTCGATATCATAAAGGTAAGGGGACCATACGTTCTCTTTTTTAGAGGACAATCGTCTACATATTTTAACTGTTTTTTATCTTTAAAATTTATGTCTTCTATCCGTCATCTATTTCTATAATCTGTCATCTTTATTTTTAAAATCTTGATCAATATTTATTTCTAAAAATTAAAAAAAAATAATAAAATTTATAAATGTTAGTGAATTAATTAGAAAAGATATTTTCAGGATTTTTAGATACATTTTCCAACTGAATTATATGTTATATGGCATTTACATTAGAACTTTTTACCGGGTTAACCTACTTTATGAGGATTTATTTGGCATGTATTCAAAGGAATTGAAAATTTAAACCCACTCGGTTAATCAAATCCGGTTAAATGTAAACGACCTTTTACTTTATATTTTGAGTTCTAATTGGGTAACAAATTTCCATACAAAATTATTAATTATTATATTTTTGGTATTTTTAGGGTTTCTGGACACGATTTTTAACCGAAACCCCACCTTTTTAATTTTACGAAAATTTGCCCTAAGAAGTGGCTGTATTTACACAATTCCTTGTGGCCTTTGGGTTACAAAATATCCTTGGAAAACATAGTCGGCACAGGTTTACTTCTTTGCTATGTTTCTTATATGAAGATCCCAAGATTATTCGCTTAGTATAAAATCTGAAACAGACCCATTTTTACTACGATAACAAATCGAAAACAAAATCGAAAAAACAGACAACCAATATCCAAAAAAAGGGTCGAGACCCACATATGACCATGGTACAATAATATAAAGTAGGGCAGCTTGAGTTGAAAAAGCAACTGAGTTCGTCTTCACACGACTCACAAGAAGGACGCGATTAAAAAAGTTTAAAAAGTATTATACGCCCACACGTTTTACAGAACGGCGATTTGTTAAGCGTTCGCTTAACTAACACGTGTTTTTTTCGAATACGGATAACTGATCAAGTCCGAGTCGTTCAATGGAATCCAAACAGTTGAGGATTTCATTACAAAACACAGTTAGAATCATCCTTACGATTTTGTCAAGTTCACCAAGGAAATTAATGTCAAAATTTAACTTACTTTGAAGGCTCGTAGACAAAGTCTACACAATCGGTGGTGGCGCAATTAATACCCGATAATCGGGAGGCGGGCCTCTTCTGCCAAAATATAAAATAAACGCAACAAGTGGTTGCGTTTATTTTATATTTTGGCACATAACTAAAGATGCGAAAAACGAATGAAAGGTTATGATTTCTTTCCAAAATCCAGTAGGGAATACCATGAAATATTTGTTTCACCAATACTAATTACTTCCAGAAGGAAGGACGCATTAAAAACATAATTTTCATTTCAATTAAAATTGAATATATTTCAATTTATTTGATTCACGCTTTTAAGCATTAAAAACCCTTGAGTATCTATTTGATATAATTACATTTGAAAATCCAGACATATAGCTTGGACATACCTTTGAGAATATCCCTCTTATTTTACACAAAGATCCTTAGAAAACATCGTTTTAAAATCCTAGCTTATAGCGTCAAAAGGTCTTAAATACGCCCTTTAAAATTCGATCTATGGTTTTACCAAATGGTCATTTTTCAATACTAAACATCTTCAGGAGTCAACTGTGCGAAACAGAAATATGTGGAGCCTAAGACCTTAAAAACCATTTTGAAAAAGTTTTTGCTGTTTTTTTTTTCTTCAAATTTCTAGATTTATCTCCTATGTACAAGAAATAGCAATCTAGAAATTCCCAAAGCCATCCCTTCCCAGAGAATATAAAAATTCTAAATAAAACACTTATAAATTTTTATGGCATACATTTTTTATAACAGTATATTTTCTTTTTTATTCCATTTCAATATTCTTCTTTTTCATATTTTTTTTTCAAATCAGTCTCTGGAATTTGTATTCTATGATTTACAATGAGTTATCCACTTGTTATGACACTTAGCAAATTTGTAGTTAAACTGTAGTTAAACCTGTTGACTACTTTAAAGAAATATAAAATTTAAATACAAATTTGCTAAATGGCTTACATAGCTAAATGGAGATATTCACGTTGGTTTTGCAATCATACATAACGACGACTGTTTTTTTTTTTCTGTTTTGTTGCAGTTTTTGCATTAACTTAAATCTTAATGGCTAATAAATAAAATATATTTATATATATATATAGTACATTATATGTGTTTAAACAAACTAAAGCAATACACGTTTCATAGAACAGTTTTTGGAATCGATACGGTTTTTCTGTTTTTTCTTTTTGAATTTTGTAGAAGGCCTTCTCATAAAGAAGGTCCTTTCTGGGGAAGTTATTTTTTAAGAATTAAATATTTAGCATTTGATAGATAACTTATAAACTAAAGAAAAATAATAAAAAGATTTCATCTAAATTTAGAATATAGGTATACGCCTGATGTGTGGTAAAATTAATAAACAAATGTACATATGGGTGGATTTTGAAATGATGATGGTATGGATGGAGGAGGATGAAGCCAACATTCTCCATTGAATGTTGTAAGCCCTCCTCCTCCTGCTACTTCTTGGTGATTTAAGAGGCAGCCATTATGTGGTTTCTGGCCACTGCATATGCTCCGCTTGACGCATTTTGGCATAGCTAATGTGTCTGTGTGTGTGGGTGTTAGGAAAAGGCGGCTATACTCTTAATACATCCTATAAATATTTATATACTAGTTCCTTCTTTTACAAAAAGACCCCTTAGCAACTAAATGACTGCAATTTCTAATTTGGTAATATCTCACTTAGCAGTTCCTTTGTACCGGGTTGCAGGCTATCGGGGAATTTGATATCATAGGACACTAGCAAATCACCGCGACGTGATGGCTCCTTGGGGAATGGCAACCCCCGACCGCTGAGACGTTTCACTGTGGTGGGTTTGATGATTTCACCTTGGGAACTGACGGTTATGCGATCACCTTGCAGTGTGGGTACGGAAACGGTTGTGCCGCACAGGGCCTGTTTTAGGCTAACCTGGGCTGTGTAACGCAGATCACTGCCTTCACGTTTAAACACTGGATGGGGTTTGTCGCGGATGATGAACACAATATCGGCTGGTATTCTGCCGGGTGTCTGATCGCCTTCCTGTGGGAAGGTGATTTTGGTGCCTGCCTTCCAGCCGGGTTTGACACTGATATTCAACACCTTCTCCTCTTTGCGTGGCTGGCCGGATGACATCGACATACGGGATATTTTCATTTTCTTCACACAGCCCTTATCGATTTCCTCCAGGGACACAAACAAATCACGTTCAATGGGTGGATCTTGTTGGGTGCGTTTACGATTTGGCTGGGCATTGAATGACTGCGAACGGAAAGCACCGCCACCTGGACCACCCATATACATATCATCGTCGCCCATAAACATTGTCTGCGATTCAAAGATGCGTGATGGATCACCGGAACCAAAGAAGATGCCGAATGGATCTGCATTGCCAAAGAACTGGGCAAATGTGGCCCGGGGATCGCCGTGATAGGTGTACGTATTGCCGCCATCCATGCCACCTGCTCCAGGAATGCCACCCTTCAGACCCTCCTCGCCATATTGATCGTAAATGTCACGTTTCTTTTTGTCTGACAACACTTCATAGGCCTCGGCAATTTCCTTGAATCGTTCCTCCGCCTGGGGTGTCTTATTCTTATCCGGATGGTATTTCAATGCCAATTTGCGATAGGCCTTCTTGATTTCGTCATCTGAAGCACCTTTGTTGATGCCAAGAATTTTGTAGAAATCTTTACCCATTGTGGCCGTCTGTTGTTGTTGTAGTTGTTGCTCTTTACTGTTGTGACGTTGTTTATTTTTCGACTTCTGGGTTTATTTGTGGTTTTGTTGTTGGTTTGTCACACTGTAATAGTAAAAACAAAAAACACAAGATTAGAATACAATTACACGACCATTTATATTTCGGTTCCGTTTGTTACGACAATGGCAAAAGCAAATTAACAAAATTCTAGAGACGTTCGTCGCTTTCGTCGTATTCACATATCTAGAATGTTCGAGAGCGAAAAATTACATTCGCCTGTATGTTATTTTTTATATTATTGCCTGCCTTCCTTGCCCCCTTTACCAAACCCCCCATTTACCTATGTTTGCCGCATCGTTTCTTCTCAATGAAACGTCAAAATAAGTTTTTTGTTCTCATTTCAATGCACTGTTTTTTTTCAACTACCCAAATGACAAGTAGGCGCCGCGTTCTCTTTCTCTCTCAATAAATCAAGTTGTGTTTTTTGAGAGCACACAATATGATTTCATCGACTATTCAAGAAAATTCGCGTAACCCCCAGAATGCATTGAACTTTTATCAAAATAAAGGAATTTTCTTTATTGGAAAAAATTCAATTTCCCCAAAAAATGTCTTTAATCAGAAAAATTGTACATCTTTTGTAAATAATTTTTCGCTCTCGTTTTTTGCCATTATTGTTTTTATTTTTTTTTTAGCAAAGACTACCCACCTTTTTGTTTAGTGCAATAGCCCTTGGGTTTTTGTTTCTTTATTTCTCGCTGCACTTTATTTGCAAGATATTATTTTCTGCGTTATATTTCCAATTACACTTCTTTTTTGTCTAACGTTTGTTCTATATTTTTCTTTAATTTTACACAAACTTTACCACTTCTTTTGTATTTGATTTGTTTTGTAATTTAAATTAAATATTTTCTTCACGTCTAATTTCTCTTTATTGTGTTGTTACTTTGTCTCTTCTTCTTTTAATAATAGCGGAATCGTGAGCACGCTCACTCATATATATAGCCATGTTTCATTTTCTCGAATGTTCCAGATAAAAATGACATTTGTTTCTGGTAACCGAAAAGTGGCATTGCCAACATGAATGAGTTGCTAAGTAATCGGTATTCGTAGACAGGAAAAACCGTTATAATTTTAATTTATTTTAAAGTGAAGTTAATGGTCTGTTACAAGATAGGAAATCGTTTGTCAACAATGAAAAAATACAACTCTACGTCGTGGGCTATAATGTCAGAATAAAAAAAAAACAAATACAACAAGTAGTTCTGTTAATTTGCATATATATAAAGTTTTATCAAAACCGCGAAAAATTAATGGAATGTCAGGTTTTCTTTTCAAAATCGAGTTGGGGATATGATTTACATACATATATTTTACTATTTTTTTTCGATATCATAAAGGAAAAAAGTGTTATTGGAGTAAAAAATAGTGGATTCTTGCAGTACGGGAACAGACCAATAGATTCACAAATTATACATTTCTTCTTAGTCCTGATTTAGTTTAGGCGAGTTTACTTGCTGCAATTATTATCGTTCTCTTCTGAACTTGCTTCATGCGTCTATACAAGGCAATTCGGTTTCAAAAATATATTTTTTTACATTTTGTGACAATGTTCTGGATTGGTATTTCAAATTACTGACACTACAAACAAAATACACCGAACGAATTGCCAGAAAATTGTCGGTACGGGCAATTTTTTCAAATTCTATTCCCCTTGCACCTCTCTCCAGCAAACAATGATTTGCCGCAAGTAAACTCGCCCAATCTAAATTGAGACTTTCCAATGTTGTAAAATTCATCTTCAAACATCCGTTTTGAATGTATTTTGTTATATTTTGCAAAATATTACACACACAGTCACACATTTTGACTTTGGCATAACAAGCCAAAATATGAAACCAGCCAATGGTTTGCGGAGGTCTTCGGAATTACACATAGATTTTATTATTAGCTTTACATATGAAATATGTTTTTATCAAAGCGGTTTCGGATTTAATGTTAATAAAATTTTAAAAAATATTGACCATTTGTGATGGAGGTACCGGAAGGAGTGAACTACTGGGTCCCATCTTCGGAATTTATATAGGGTTGGTAAAGATAATAAGTTGTGCAAGGTTTGGTTGAAATATGACATTTTATTCGCCTGATATTGCATTTATAATAAATATATATATTCGTGGGGGAGGTACCGGAAGGGGTCTACCGATGGGTCCCATTTTTGGACTTAATCTAGACTTCGTAAGGATAAGTGTTTGTACAAAGTTTGGTTCACATCAGACCTTCCATTCCTCGTTATATTGGATTTACAAATATTTAATCTAGATTTTTGTAAAAATAATGGATTATGCTATGTTTGGTTCATACAATTTGTGGGGGAGTGGACCTATGGTTCCCGTCTTCAGACTTGATCTAGAGTTGGTAAATATAATAGGTTTTGCAAGGTTTGGTTCAAATCAGACATTCCATTCGCCTGATATTGGATTCACTAATATTGAAAATTTTGACCATTTGTGGGGGAGGTACCAGAAGGAGTAGACCAATGGTCCCAATTTCGAAAGTTTCATTAAAATCGGATAGTCCGTTTGCATGTTATTATGAAATTAGTTTTTAGCACAATTTTGACCTTTTTGTGGGGGTGGTACCAGAAGGAGTGGACCAATGGTTCCCATCTTCAGACTTGATTTAAGGATTGGTGAAGGTAATATGTTGTGCTTGATATTGGTAACATTCCATTAGCTTGATATTGCTATTATAAATATTGAAAAAGTGGACCAATGGGCCCCATCTTCAAATCTGACTTAGGCTTGGTAAAGATAAGGTTGTACAAAATTTCATAAAATCGGATAGTCCATGCGAACTTGTCATTACAAAATTTAGTTTTTAGCACAATTTTGGCCAATGTGGGGGAGGTACCAGAAAGACAGGACCAATGGGTCCCATCTTCAAACTTGATCTAGGCTTGTTTAAGGTAATATGTTGTACAAAACGTTGTATGTTGTTCAGAACGGACATTCCATTGGATAGTCCGATTGCATGTTACTATATAATTAATTTTTAGCACAATTTTGACCATTTTGTGGGGAGGTACGAGAAGAAGTGGACCGATAATCCCCATCTTCGAACTTAAACTAAGTTTGGAAGAAATATTGATATGTGGAAAGTTTGAATGAAATCGTCAGCCAGACGGACGGAAGGAGTGAACTACTGGGTCCCATCTTCGGAATTTATATAGGGTTGGTAAAGATAATAAGTTGTGCAAGGTTTGGTTGAAATATGACATTTTATTCGCCTGATATTGCATTTATAATAAATATATATATTCGTGGGGGAGGTACCGGAAGGGGTCTACCGATGGGTCCCATTTTTGGACTTAATCTAGACTTCGTAAGGATAAGTGTTTGTACAAAGTTTGGTTCACATCAGACCTTCCATTCCTCGTTATATTGGATTTACAAATATTTAATCTAGATTTTTGTAAAAATAATGGATTATGCTATGTTTGGTTCATACAATTTGTGGGGGAGTGGACCTATGGTTCCCGTCTTCAGACTTGATCTAGAGTTGGTAAATATAATAGGTTTTGCAAGGTTTGGTTCAAATCAGACATTCCATTCGCCTGATATTGGATTCACTAATATTGAAAATTTTGACCATTTGTGGGGGAGGTACCAGAAGGAGTAGACCAATGGTCCCAATTTCGAAAGTTTCATTAAAATCGGATAGTCCGTTTGCATGTTATTATGAAATTAGTTTTTAGCACAATTTTGACCTTTTTGTGGGGGTGGTACCAGAAGGAGTGGACCAATGGTTCCCATCTTCAGACTTGATTTAAGGATTGGTGAAGGTAATATGTTGTGCTTGATATTGGTAACATTCCATTAGCTTGATATTGCTATTATAAATATTGAAAAAGTGGACCAATGGGCCCCATCTTCAAATCTGACTTAGGCTTGGTAAAGATAAGGTTGTACAAAATTTCATAAAATCGGATAGTCCATGCGAACTTGTCATTACAAAATTTAGTTTTTAGCACAATTTTGGCCAATGTGGGGGAGGTACCAGAAAGACAGGACCAATGGGTCCCATCTTCAAACTTGATCTAGGCTTGTTTAAGGTAATATGTTGTACAAAACGTTGTATGTTGTTCAGAACGGACATTCCATTGGATAGTCCGATTGCATGTTATTATATAATTAATTTTTAGCACAATTTTGACCATTTTGTGGGGGAGGTACGAGAAGAAGTGGACCGATAATCCCCATCTTCGAACTTAAACTAAGTTTGGAAGAAATATTGATATGTGGAAAGTTTGAATGAAATCGTCAGCCAGACGGACGGACGGACATGTGTAAATCCACTCCAAATTTTCTGAAACGGATTTGGTTCAAATAAACATGGGGTCTTAAATCAATATTTCGATGAGGCACATTAGTCTATATACCCTCATTAGCCATAAGGCTGAGGGCATGACACAATTAGTGCAGCTGGTGTCTCTATAAACTGTCAAAGTGGTTCATTTTACTTGGATTCGATGTGCAATGTTGCCAACCATGTTACAAATTATAATGCAAAATTGGACAGATGGTCGAGACAAAAATAAAGGTTTTTGTTTTGATACATCTCCTTATTATTGCATCCTAACTGAGGGTATAAAAATTGTAATTTATAAGTTGATATGACCACCATGCCTACCTTGACTAATTGTACCATATTTGAATATATAAATTTTTCAATAAGAATGTGAAATATTTGAACAAATTTAATACATTTTTAATTTTGTTTCGCGATTTAGTTCAGTTTGCTAAGAGATATGGATATAACGTATTTAGGTAATGCGGTCGTACAAAACATTTTGCTACAGGAGGGGGAAGTTGAATATTTGTTACATTTTATACATCCGAAAACATAAAAATTCATCGCACGGACCATCCATGTAGGAACTAGATGAACTAAAGATCTGGATCCAGTTCCGATCGTTCCATTCCCAGAATGGGCTAGTTCGCTGTGGA